GTCTCGTTTTTTGGGGGGGGGGGGGTCAAATTATTGTTCTAGACTCCATGCACATATAGTTTCGATCTATGAGTTTTTTAGGTATACATGATATTTTCATTTTACCACCTATAAAAATCAGTCTTCCCTTATGCTGACTGTGAGCGTCTTGGAGGAAAACCTTTTTATACTAGCACACCGAAGGGTGTGGCCTAGCGGTCATGAAGTTAGAATGGATTATGTGATTAGGGGTTTTAACTACCTAAGGTCTCAGGTTCAAATCCTAGCTGAGACAAAAACACTAGGTGTTTTCTTTCCATTTGTCTAAGCTTTGGTAGATAGAGTTACCTGGTACATGTTGCTGGTAGGAGGTAGCAGGTATCCCGTGGAATTAATCGAGGTGTGCGCAAGCTGGCCCGGACACCACGGTTATAAAAAATATCAGGGTTTTACCTTTAACGATCAAAAAAATTATGAGATCAGGGTTCAAATCCCATGGAGGCAAGAAGGTGTAAGGTGATCTCTTTTCGTCTAAGTTCTGATGACAAAGTTATCCAATGTCAGTATTGATGGAAGGTAGCAGGTACCTATAGATTAGTCGAGGCGCACAAAAGATGGCCCTGACCCGATTGTTATCGCAAAAAAAAAAAAGGGAAAAGAAGAGACTTGGCTAATTGAGTTGTTTGTGGATGGAGCCAATGGTTTGTGGCATATGCATTATATTTCTACTGTATTGGGTCGTATGTGCACTTACATGTTGTACTTTCTTCACGCGTCTGTTTATTTTACTATATCTAGTTCTTCCATGGCATTTTTAACCATCTCTATCTTGCTTCAGGGAGTTTGTGAACAATGTTTGGTACATCAAGATACTTTCTCCACTTGAAGTGCAACAGATGGGGAAAGAGGGCCTTGATCTTCCAAATGCTGGCCAAGCACAAAGGCTTCCTAGCAGTGGCGTCGGATGTGATGACTATATGAACCAAAAGGGCTCCCGAAATACCATGAACGGGATACCCTTGGGGTCGCTCGACTACTAATGATTAATAGTGACCCCTGCCTAAGGTAATTGTACCATATGGTTGTTGTTGCCCTTGGTTAATGTCTGCAAATTTCTTGTACCCTTTGTTGTGTTAAAATGTCATGTATCTTTCTACCTAAAGACAAGGGCTAAGTCTCATTTGAAGCTTGTATCCCAGATAAGTACACTGTAAATTATAAATATTATTATTGATAAGCCTGTGGAACTACCTTCTAGAGAACAACTGCAGAAATATCAGAATTAGCAGTAGCCACAGTTTTGACTTTGCTAGATGCATATATTGTACCTTTTTATTTTCTTTTTCGGATAAAATGCCCTTTTACACCTCTATTTGGGAGGTTTGAGATCAATTATTGGGACAGACAGACCGGTAAAACAACAGTCGACCTCGCTTTATTTATACAGCTAAGGTCTAACATCGTCTCTTCTTTTACACATTTTTATTCCTCCTCTCCTGATGCTCGAGCGTCGAGGTTGGTTGAGTCGAATGGTGGTTGTATGAACTCAGAAGCCCTCTGGTTCACAAATTCCTAGCACCTTTTCCATGTTTGGCTAAAATTTCATTGCAAGAAGCCAGTTTCTTCATGATCCTTAGACGGACTTTTTACATGTCTTTCCCCTTTTCTATGTAAGGGACAACTTGATAATTATAATTTGATAATTAAAAGTTAATCCTTGATTAGGCTGAAAAAAATTAAGTCAAAACTTGATTCATATTCATGCACATTCTATTTAAGCCCAATATAAAAGAAAGGAAGTTTTACATGCTATAGCTAAATAATACACCATATTTATTACTATAAACCAAAACATTTAAAAAATATTACTTATTTATAGTCACTTTTTATATTTTATAGTAAAGTACAAATATATACAAACTGATCCTTCAACTTTTCCCTCAACCCTCTCTTCTCCCAACTCTTTCTCCTTTTTTTCCCTATCTCTTTACCCTCGACAAGTGGATTCCTCCATCTATGTTATGTACAAGCAATAATAAACCTCTGTGAGTTTGTGATCTTCGAGATCTCAAACCCTATGGTTTAGACTTCCATGAGAAATGCACTGAATATTTTGTATAATATCTTACAGTAGAAAATTTACAGAAGAATCGATTCGATACTGAGAAATTCGAACCGATACAGGCATCCAGCCGTGGTTTTGGGGGGTCTGGGTCAAAGTTGAGTCCGGTTTAATGAAGGCATAATCATGAGTGATTCATACTCCCTTCTTTCATCTCCACCGTCAGATCCAAATATGAAAATCACGAAGTCGCGATCAGTCCATTACCGGCGGCGAAAACACCGGAGGAGGAAGATCGGAGGCATCACCAGATCTGGATCCAACAGAGATGCCGGAATCCATGGCTTATTCCCCTTCTTTGTATCTCACATTTGAGTGTATTCGTCTGATCCGGATTTTGGTAGATACAATGTGATAGTGTTACCCAGATCTGGCCGGAATTGAATTTTGTTCGTCTCAATTTTTAGTTTAATACAATGTATATATTGTTTTGCTTAGCTGGAAGATGGCAGCAACTTTCTTTTCTTCTTTGCTATTGAGACACATACAATGATACAAATACATTATATTATGTACAAATACACTCAAATTTGAGTGTATTCTGTCATTTTCAATGCAGCCGAATCAAATATAGTAAGTTGAATTAAATACAGTAAATTGAATACAGTGTAAAAGCAACTACGAATGAATACAATTAATTGAATACAACCGACTATTTTGTGATTTTTTGTTGTTTGAATACCGTCGATTTGAATACAATGTAAAATAATTTAGAATGAATATAGCCGAGTTCAATACAATATATACAACCGAATTGTATAGAGCGGTATACATCCCATTTCTTGAAATTTTGTTGTTTGAATACAATTGAATTCAATATAGTGAAATTGAATACAACATAAAATATATAAGAACGAATACATCCGAATTGAACGCAGTGTATATATTGAATACAACGACATACATCCCATGTCAAGTAATTAGTAGCTACAGAATATAATTAGCTGAATTAAAGCTATGCCCAATAGTAAGCCCCAAACAATAGTCATTTGTGAAAGTTCCCTAGAAGAGAACATAGATCAAACGTGCTCCAATTAATTTCATAGTTGGCAAATTGTGCACTTCCAAGAGATGATCGAATAACCTTATGGATACAATTTTCAGCTTGATTCTGAAATTGAATTATTAGTGACAACATACCATGCCATAAAAATAAATAACTTGCAATATAATTTGACATTTCTGACTTAAAAAATGAATCGGAGAGAAAGATAGTTAATTTACTAAAATTATAGTAGCTCGGTACATAAAGTATCCCGCCTTCACGCTGGATCGGGGGAAGGGTCGCACCCCTAAAGGTGTGTGACGTAAGCAGTCTAACATGATCCATTTAAACCTACTAGAAGAACAAATGGACAGAGTTTGAAAAACATGTCACCTGATTTAATTAAGTTATGCAACTAACAACAAACTCGGAACCAACATACTCTTCCCACCCTATTATTTTTTTAAAAGCAATCAGAAACACAACATGATCTGTTTATGAATTACAACATCATGTTACATTTTTGACACTTTGGCTATTCTTGCAAATCTTTATGATCACTTCAACTGCAGCATCCATCTCTTCTCCTCTTACAGACTTAAAATTCTCACTAATATGTCTAACTTTCTTCCTCAAACTTTCCCCATTTTTCTCACAAATAACACCTCTAATAACTTGTGCTACCTCTTGTCTACCAATCTTTCCTTCCTCATCTTTCACTATCTCCACCGCCGCGCCAAGTTCAACCATCAACCTAGCATTTATAGGTTGATCAATATGCATTGGCATTGCTATAATAGGAACACTAAACTCTATACTTTCCATTACAGAATTCCAACCACAATGACTTACAAATCCTCCGATACTCGAATGGTTAAGAATTCTTTGTTGTGGTACCCAACCATCCACAACCTTACCTCTATCTCCAATTTTTTCAAGAAAATCTTTAGGTAATACGCGCTCGAGTATAGCTTCCTCCTCCTTGTGAAACCTTACAACCCATATAAAATTAACTTGGCTAAGTTCTAAACCAAATGCTATCTCTTCAAAATCTTCCTTACTCAATAAATACTCACTTCCAAAGGAAACAAATACAGTCGAACGCTCATTTTTCGTTCCTAGCCAATCGATAAGATCATCATCATCATCTTGAATATTCATAGGATCATGATCTTGGATTGGATAGCCAGTAGGAACAACTTTCCAATGTGATAATTCGGTTATATAATCGATATATTTAGCCTCGATTGCCTTTGATGTACTCATCAAAATGATTCTTTTCGAGTTTCCTATTTCAGCTAGTAAAGGATGGAGGAGCTTATCTTCATGATCTTTCTCTTTAGTAGCTTGTTCCATAATAACTTGGAATTGTTGTTGCTCAATTTTACTCAAATAAAGAGCTGGAAATGGAAATTCAATGGATGAATTTTTGTGTGAATGCAAAACATGTGAAAATGCAGCTGCACCAGAAGTCAAGAGCATTACTGCTGGAACGTTATGTGAAAGGGTAGCAACTTCTTCTGCCCAAGGTGGTAACATATCATAGATTAATAAATCGGGTTTAATTTTTTGTAATATTTTTGAAAATTCGGGTTTTGACATGTTAAATGCGATCCTGAGAGCGGAGATGAGATGTGGTGGGAGGCCATTAGTTGTATGGTAAATAGGAGGAAGTTCAGGTAATTTTGGTAGATGAAGTTCAACAAGATCAATTGAAAGAGAGTAATTTTGAGGGATTTTTTGCTTGATAAGATTAAGATTTATAGGTGTAGAACAAAGGTAGATGTAAAAATCCTTGTCTATAAGTTTTTTGGCTATGTTTAAGTATGGAGATATATGACCATATGCTAACCATGGAAACATTAATACCCTCAAACTAGTAATACCTTGTAAATCCATGAAAATCTATCTTTTTCTTGGTTATAATTTTTGTGTATGATTATTTTGGGATATGGGGTAGGGTTGAAATATAAGAGAGACTAAGGGAAATGAGGACAAAATGACATGAAGTGAAGAGGGGCCTACTTTCTTGATAATGATATGAATTTCACAGTTAGGACTCTGCATTATTTATGGTAAAAAATATCTACCATATTAATTAGAGATAGAGTCGGTCAGGCGAAGCCAGAATTTGAAGCTTGTGGATTCGAGATTCTAGTCCTTTTAAGTTATTCTGTTCTAAATTAGTATTTTATACATATTCGAATTTGTTCATACGGGTGAAGTACACAAGTAGCCATTAAAGTGGATGATCTTGAATTTTTGTCCCCGCTTGTGCTATAGGCAGAACTTCAAGTTTAATAAGAGTTGTCCTTTGCCTGCCTCATGGGCGATACTTTTAACTTTTGACCTTGAAGTTCTGTCCATGGGACAAGCGGAGTTCAATTAAAAACCACTCCAAAAAGTAGTCATCCAATGGTTGTAATGTTTCAATGATTTGGGGAATTGGTCCCCAGCTCCCAACTAAAGCAATTTATTGTATTGCCAAGATAGCTACACCTTACAAGGAAATTCAACTTTGAATATGAAATGTCAGATTCTTGTCCACTTGTTCACCAGCTATAAATGTGACACAGTAAAAGTTCAATTTTCAAACTTCAAAACTGACTAAAGTTGAAAGGATGGTTACTGCACCATGACATAGAATTGGAGAAATGTGAACAGCCAAACCACTAGAATAAAGATACATGATATCAAGAACATGCCTACTTTCGCAAGCTAGGGGTAACGCCGCGTACACACTACTCTCCCCAGACTCCAGTTGTGTGATTATACTAAGTGTTTGCTGATATCATGAACATGAACACACAAGATAGAAGTAAGACTGTGTACACACGACCCTCCTCAAACCCCACCTGTGGTTGATATGAAGAACATGAACACACATCACCGATGTCGACAACCTTTGGCTGGACATTGCTTGCTCTTCTTTTTTTATAACTGTGGTGTCCGGACCAGCTTGCGCGCATCTCGACTTATTCCACGTGATATCTGTTACTTCCCACCAGCAATAGGTACCAGGTAACTTGATCCACAAAAGCTTGAACAGATGGGAAGAAATTGCTTGCTTTTCAAAGTTGAAATTTCATTTTCCTGGAGTCTCATATTTGCTTTAAGATACAAAATGGAGGAGAAGAAGTGTAATATAAACTAGGAAGACTACCGAGATTTACAAAATTTTCTAGGCTCATTTTGCATTACTTTCTTACGTCTGAGATGCACTACCACTAACTGTTAGTTGATCCAATTTTTCTCCTGACAAAATGCTCAAATTTGCATTATTGTCATCATCATAGTCTTCATTATCACCACTACCATCATCATCGTCATAGTCATCTTCGTCATCACTACTACCATCATCATCATCGTCATAGTCGTCTTCATCATTATTATTGATGTAATTGGGAATTCTGTCAACTATCAGCTCGTTGGTGCATCCTGTAAGCTGCTTAGCTTCCATCTGTTCTTCCGAAGTTTTTGCCAAGGACAAGAGAATGTTCTTTGCTTTTTGATCAGGAGATACCCCGGAAGATACCATCTCATTGAACCAAGCAACGGCACTGCCAAAATCCTTATTCCTACCATACGCGTCCATGATTGTAGTGAAGATAGTTTGGTTAGCCTTGATACCATGGACCCGCATTTGCTCATATTTCTCCATCATCTTTTCGAGGTCATTTATTTTTGCATATCCCTTAATCAGTGTGCCGTATGTGACAACATTGGGCTCCAATCCATCCTGCTTTATTCTTCTGAAAAATTTCTCAGCACCCTCCATATCCGGTGCATTAATATAAGCTGACAGCATTGTTGTGTATGAGCAAAGGTCGGGGCTACATCTGCAGGGAAATACGGAAAATCAAAAGTCTACTTGAGAATGGATTCCTACGTGAGCAAAGCATCACATTGACAATTTCCCAAATAATTGAGTCGGCGAATTTAATCCACCATGTATTTTACTTTTCCCCTTCCCTTTAATTGAGTGAGTCGGCGAATTTAATCCAAATATTGAGTCAGAGAGTTGGGTCAAGTTCAGGATTTGGAAGGAAGACAATTTATATTATCCACCTACATGCTTTGGCCAATAAGCGCTAAACCAGACAATGTTAGAGCAAAAGATTAAAAAAAAATGCATGTTTTCTCAGAAGTATTTGTTAGAAAAATGTCTGTACGAGTTATTTTAGAAACTGGTTTGTTAGAAAACCATCTGGATGAGTTATAACAGTGGGCGCATGAAGAATTTTTAATGTTGGATGCAAGATTCATCCGCATTCCGAAGTAAGCATCCTAGGAATTTGTTGTGAGGATTGTTGGACGACAAATTAAGTGAGGCAAAGTATAGGAAAATCAAGTGAGACCATCTGGTGCTGACAAGCAGTGGATAAAAGTTTTTTGAGTTAATAAAAATAATAGTTAAAAGAAGTTTTCATGGAAATGTAAGCAAAATCCCACCTGTCTCTTCGCATGCTTTTGAAGACAGTTCGGGCTTGTTCCACCATTCCTGAGATTGCAAATGCATCTAGCAAGATGTTGTAAGATTTCTGTGTTGGCCTGAAAAAAAGAGGTGCGCTCATATAACCCTTGTAATTAAAGGATAAGAGAACACAGTCACTGGCTTCAAAGCATAGCAAGATAACGTCATCTGGGATGGAGACTGAGAACATATATGTCTCTGAACTTGAGTTACTCTAGCTAAAAAAGTAAAAACCTGGCTTAAACACATCTCTACTACAGATTTTGGTGCTTTCTAGCGGGATCTAGCATCAGAAAATATCTTTGCAGAGAATAAAACCAATTCCATTGAAACAAGAAACCATAATTTAGATGATTATGTTTTCGTCAACCACAAATGTCAATAAGAAAGTTAATTGGTAATCTTCTTTCAGAAAAGTGCATCTTCCACTCTGGAGATAGAATGTGTCTCATCTTTCAATGTGCAATGATAATCAATTTAATTTCTTTCCAATTATTAGGACAAGGAAAACGTATAAGGTATGTTAAACATGCTTTCACTAGTTGATGAAATGGCACATTTTAAAGTAACTGATTATAGGGGGGTATCTTATGTAGAAAATCATCTTTTCATGTGTCTTCTTTTTGGAATACCTCTTGTATACACGAGCTTTCCCAATCATTATATCATATCATTTCATATCATCATACTATACTATCAGCATGAAGAATTTTAGGTAAAGTTATTTTACTAAAATATCCTTCAAAAACTGAATGACCAAATTAGCCTCTACCTAAAATTAAAATCATCTCCCATTAAATGATATTTGTACTTAATGCGTTGGTAAAGAAGTTCACAATATTAATGAAAGAAATAATCCGAATAATGGGTGTTGCCGTATGTTCCAGCCGTTATTGACGTTATGGAGGATTAATTAACACAATTTTTTTCTGATATTTTCACACTACCTTTCTATTCTTTCCTTCTTCCAATATTCAATTTCCTCTCCTCCTTTAAATCCTTTTTTACATAATGTTTCAGTTTTAACACTTGTATATTTTTTCTGTTATAATTTTATATATTCATCACTTAATTATGGAATTTAAAAGGATTCTTCATCATTAAATTTTAAAAATCACTATATAAATGGACACACCATATGCATTCACCATTATTCTTTCAGCATGATCTTTAAAGCTTTTTTTTCTTTTCATTTTTGCTTCTTGCTTCTTACTTATCATTTAATGTTTACTAATTTATACTCCCTCTATGAATTAACTATCCAACCATGTGGACCATAGAGAAAACTTTGTCAATGAACTCCAATAAATTGGCCGAAGCATAAAGAAAGCGTGAAAGGTTTGAAGAAAAAGCCAAGGTTTTAAGGCTACAGAAGGAACATGCAAGATAGAAAAATGACATGCCAAATTTAGCATTTTTATCTAAAATAATCAAAATATTCCCATACGGGACACACATGTCCAGAAACTAGTTATACTAAAAGTAGGAAGCTCCAAAGTGCAAAGTCGAATTACCAAAATGTCCATAGAAAATTGAATGACCATTTTATCCTTCATCTACTCTTATAATAGACAAAATTAGCCTTGAAATGTTATGTACTTTAACATCTGTTAGAAAACGAAGTTATTCCTTCATAAATGGGTACATTAACCAAGCTTCTTTTTGTGAATTCCAAAACTGAAGGATTTGAAGCTATGTTGCTCGGACTCTCCGAAAATGTCGCAGGGTGCGTGTCGAATCCTTCAAAAGTAGTGTATTTTTGGAGGATCCGACACGGGTGCGGCGGCATTTTGGAGAGTCCGCGCAACATAGATTTGAAGAGTTGTAATTGATAAAATAATGAAAACTAAATGATTCCTTCTCAAATGGGTACGTTAGCCAAGCTTCTTGTACCAAAAACAGTTAACCAATCTTCTCTTTTTCTAAACTTAAACTGAAAAATTTGAAGAGCTGCCATTGACAAAATAATATACTTAGCAGATCCATCTTCCATTAACCCTATTCATTCTAATTGGATTACTCTCTATAATGGATTGTGGTACAAATTGCCAAGATGTCGTTATTCATGTCTATATTGATAGGAACTATAGGATTCATCTATATGCTTGTGATATACTGATATTCTTCGTTTTTGGAGATTTTATTCTATACAACAAGTTGGTTGGTCCATAAAGACTGAATAACTGTGAGTATATCCTAGTAATTTTTATTAGTAACATCTAATTAATTAGTCTGTCTTTGAATGTTTGATATATCATTCCCTTTTAGAGGAGTACGATATATGTCTTTATGTGCTCAGTGCTCTAGCTGCTCTTTTCTGGAGCACCTCTAGCCTCTAAGTAACTAGATAAGTACACATGTTGGCGCTTGGCAAAGGTTCATCCCATTGTTTAATCTACAAAAATTGTTATGTGTTTCAGTTAATATGTTTCTTTAATTTATTTTTTATTACCCTTACTATATTTACTTTATAAACTGTCTCCTACTTATATCCAATAAATCATGGCGCGATTTCTTTAACTTTTCTAACTCAAACATAACTTTTTGATAATGTTTATGTAATATTTTAAAAGTTTTGTATTCATTAATATTGGGGTACAGCGCAACGCGCGTGCTCAGAAACTAGTATTGATATAAGTATTTACCTTAGCCGGAAAAAAAAGATAATAAATGAATCGAAGGTGCAAAGTGTTAACTGCTCGCAATACTGTCTTCCCTCACCCAACAAGAGAAAGAAGGAAGCTGTGGGAAAGGAAAACAATGTTAAAAAGCTTGGATAACCAGTGAAGTAAAGAACTAAATACCTGACACCAGCATCAAGCATTTCCTCAAAAACAGCGAGTGCCTCCTCTTCTCTTCTAGCCTTTCCATATGCACTAATGAGCAGGGCGTAGCTAACGACATCAGGTCGAAGACCAGCTCTTTGCATCTAAAATTAGGCATTTGCTTCAAATTACTAATATGTGCAAATGTATGAAGCCATTCCATGCGCCCATGATTTTCAAAAGCAAATACGAGACAATAACTAAAATAGACAAATAATACTACAAATAATCCTGCAAATAAAGTCTCGAAAACTTAGAAGAAATTAGCAAGAACATAAGTTTTTTAAAAGACCAGTAATATCTCAAAGTAAAATGGTGTAATACTACTGCATCAGGGAGTAATACAGAGAAATATGCTAACAGCTAAAGCGAACAAACCTATAATAGCATAAATACATTTTCTGATAGGAAGAGATGTACAAGCACTTGAGTAGTTGTTCAGCATACTTAATGACCATTCTCAGAACAAATCAGAACCTAATAAATAATTCGCAAGTACCTGATCATAAATGTTCGCGACCTCCTTGTAGTTCGTCTCAAACGACATCAAACTGTTGTAAGTAACCGTATTTTGTGGAATTCCTCGCTCGGTCATCAAAGAAAACAGCTGACGAGCTTTCTCATACTTTCCAGACTTCTTATACATATAGATCATCATGTGGAACATTTTCTGGTCTGGCTTCAGCGGAGGTGCATCCATATCCATAAGAGCTTCAAAGACTTCTTGAGCTTCATTAAATTTGTCACCCTGTATTAACCCCTTCATTAGCCAGGAACTTTATATAAATGAATAAAGGAACTAGCGGATCAAATTTTTTCCTTCGATTTTTGAGTTAAGCTAAACATCTTTTATCCCACATAAGCACTGCATGTTGAACTACTGCTTTCTTATATATCGTTATCTGCTATTATTACCAGTGAATAATCCATTGACATTCGCAGATAGCCAGATATGGTTCCCCTAGAAATAGAATGCTTTAGAACCACAACAAATCGTAGATTGAGAGCAGAATAAGATTATAAAGTTATCAAAGAAACGGCATTCGACTACTATATTTTTTCAATCTTCTTGATTTTTTATTGCTAGTTAAGCATAAGGGTGCTCAGGTTCAGTTTGGTCAATTTTTTTTCCAGTATTCTACTACCAAACCAACACCAGCAGCTTTCTAAAACAAAGTAAAAGTTTCAGAAACAATTACTTTTGGTTTTCAAGGCACCATTTCAGTTTGACTTGGTGTGGTGGTTTTGCAACTATCTTTTCTCTCCCCAATTAATTACAGTTAGAAAAATGTGTTAAACTTTAAACTACATATGCTTCATGTTAACACAATCAAAATCTAAACTTAAAAATCTAAACTGGAAGATCATTTCGAGATCTTCGAACATATTCGAGGGTTCAATGTTACTATTGTAACTTCGGCCAACACGCAAGATGAGACTTTACCACCGTGGAGCGGCTTTTTGCAAAAAGATGAGGGGGAAACTCAGTAAGATGTCGGAGAAGCGAAATATACGAGATCACAAACGTAGATTGCTCGCGGCAAAATATGAATTGAGACGAAAGCTTTATAAAGCCCTTTGTAAAGATCCCGATCTTCCTAGTGATATGCGGGACAAACATCGTTATAAGTTGTCCAAGTTGGCAAGAAAGAGTTCCTTTGCACGAGTAAGAAACCGATGTATTTACACGGGTCGCCCTCGTTCTGTATATGATAAAAATTTCTCGTATCCTTTTTCGTGGATTAGCATCTCGAGGTCCTTTGATGGGCATAAAGAAATCTTCTTGGTACCAAAAAATAGTTTCAATTACCCAAGGAAAACACTGATACAAGAAGAAAATTTTATACTACCAGGGAAAAAGATTCTATCAATAAACAGACCAGTAACAACTAATTGGAATATTTGGAGAAAGAGAATTAAGATTTTGGGTGCTTTTGGTATGGCACATTTATACGTGGAACCTGCTAAAGTACAACAACAACTGCTACTACCACTGCTAAGTACCAATTTCCTGCTTGACACTTCATCATCTTTTTTCGGTAAACACTCTTTAAAAAGAGTTCTTTGATGATCTTTTTCAATTTCCCTAAAATTAAGGAAATCCATCAATTAATAAACTTTCGTTTAATCACTATTCTTTTTCTTTTTTTTGGAAAATCAATTTCCAGTACTACAAGCAACAAGAGTCAAATACTAAGCAACAGATTTAGAATGACTAAAATCTTCAGATATTGTTCAGAAGAAGAGACTTATTTTAAAGCAGAAGTCAGAGGAAGTAAACGACAGATTTCACAAAGATGTTCTATAATATGACCTTTTATTCCTCTTTTCTCTAATTAGTATAGTCATTGTTAACACCACTAATGCAACATTTGCATCTCAAAGCATTTCTTTGAACCACTAAATCAATTCCCCCCGATAGTCTATTTGGCATTAAAAAAGTGTCTGAATCAAAACCTTTACTGTCTAAAGATTCATACAGAAATATCATTAATGATCTTTTTGTATAAAAAAAATGATTTAGGAATATCACTAACGGTCTTGACCTGGAGCTTCAGCAAAATGCACGGATCTTAAGTCAGAATCGTTACCAAGCAGCATACTCATCACAAATCTTAAGTCAGAATCATTACCATTTTATTTTTCTTCTCATTCTATCACATAATGGCCAAGGAACTTACGTAGTGGACCCTTCGCTAGTAAACAAAAAGATGATTGCAGCAATTGTTAGTATTAATTTAATTCGGTTACGTAGCTTTGGCATGCAAGATAGAACATGAAGTTCATGATTCTATCATTCCAAAGCAAAGCACCAAACCAGCCATTGTATGATACAAATGCTCTTCTCCACCACAACAAGTAATCACGCTTAAAAGAAAACACTCTACTACAACAACAACAACATACCCAAAATAATCCCACATAATGGAATCTGGGGAGGGGAGTGTGTACGCATACCTTACCCCAACCTAGTGGAGATAGAGAGCTTGTTTCCAACACACCCTCGGCTCAGGATAAAAGAAAACACTCAGATCACAAGTATTTATGTTTACAACTTCACACTCAACATATAATAGCCTACTAACCGAGTCACACAGCATGTTCAATTCAATTGACAAGAAAATTTTAGTTTTACAATGGTACAAAAAAAATCAAAATTTCATAGTTGTGTTTAGCATTTATCATTCACCTTCTTATATCTTTAATAATTGAGCTCCTAAGTCTCTCTCCTTCCGTTATATTGTTTGCTACATTACCTCAACAAAGATTTTGAGAATGATTTGGTATGTAATAGCAGAAGGTTCAGGGCCTGAAGTTTGCATTCTCCGAAATATCGCTTCTGCCTTACTGTACTGACCTCCTTTTCCATATGCCTCCATCAGAGCAGTGTGAGATATCACATTTGGGGGATAGCCCTTCTTATTCATGTAGCCTAAAATGCTTTCAGCCTTACTGAATTCCCCTTGCTTCCCGTAGGCCGTAATAAGCATCAGAAAGTCCATTTCATTAAAATCCCACCAATGCTGAGTTTGAAGCCATTCAAGAATCTACAGCGGAAACAACAGATTAGACTATAAGGAATTGAGATATACATAGACGAGTACTGGCTATAGCATCCAGAAATGGGAGACAACTCATGTAAAAACTCAAATGTCAAATTACTAATTTTTAAAATCTATTTAAAAGAATGAAAAAAGAAAATCAACAGTGTACATAACACATATATCCTTGAGATTCAAAAGAATAATTGAGAAACTGATTTTAGAAACCGAATTTATTTGGTAAAACAAAGATTCTACGAAACCCCAACTTCTTAGCAGAAAAAGGAAAATCCCAGATACCCTGCACTACAGAAATCAGAAATCCAATTGAATATCACCATTTTAAACCTAACCCTCATAATCCACACCATATATATGGAAAAAGATTTTCTTTGAGGAAAAATTGAATGCAGAGAGAACAGTCCATACCTCACTAACAAGGTTCCACTTCTTAAGCTGCTTAAATCGAACCAAGCTACCAAGAACAAGGTCCTTGGAAAGAGACTGGTTCTTGGACCTCTGGCTTCTCAGCACCGAAACAGCAGAACCAGTTTCTTCAATTTCATTCATCATCTTTCTCCAGTTCTTCTGATCTGCTTCATCCTCGGCGCTCTTGAAAACCTCTACTTTCTTCCTCTTCTGCATGAATTTTCTCGGCGCCAGCATGCCTTGACACACCACTTCTGCTCTTTTACATATTTTAACATTTGTATCCAATAAATTCCCACCACTATTTGATTTACTGCATGAGAAATGACGGTTTTGCTAAGCACAAGTTCAGAACACGGAATTCAATCAAACCCAGAATTTAAGAATGAGCTGCCAAAGACAAACCTTTTAACTCAATACTGTCAGACATGGAGTTGCAAAATGGTAACAAGTCACCAAAATAGCAGAAACTGCAAAACTCCTACATTTCTGTACTGTTTTCCTACTCAAGACGAATCTAGGATTTGAAAATTATGGGATTGGGATTCTAGGACAGCTACCTCAAGTGCTAATAACAGGGTCCGAAATTTAATATATGTACATATACAGTGGATTTCATAACACATATACAATGGCTGAGCCAAAGTTACTGGATTTTGCCGAACTCATAAGTTACACTTTACATCCTGCCCTGCCTACTCTAGTTACATTTTTTTACCATCACTCTTTTTGTGGTGTTGCTTGGCAGTAAAAATAAAGCTAACAATTAAAAAAATCATCAGATATAAGATTCAAGAACCAGTTAAAACAACTATTTTTATTCAATAAAGCCATAACTTGGCATTCCCTGAGTCCGGGTATTTCGAGGCAGGCAAATTTTGGACGGGGAATTTTGTTAAACACCACACTGTAAGCAGATAAAATCATGAAAAATTTAAATTATTTACTCCAAAAATGTTCAAAGATAAGATTTTGGCTTATTTAACATTTCTCAACTATTTTATATCAATCCAATTCTAAACAGCAAATAAGACTCAGAACATACAAAAGAAAAAACAAAACAAAAAACGGAGATAGTCAGTATTCTCTCTACACCTAGCGTAAACAGTTCATAAATAAGAAAATTCCCAAATTGGTGAACCATTTAAATACCCTTTTGACATAAAGATGTATCTTTGTACAATATCAAGCACAAAATATAATTCTTTAAGCAAAAAATAAAAAAAAATAATTAAAAAAAAACAGTGAGAAAACCTCCAGAGGGAAGAAGAGGGAGCTGAAATGAATGGTTTGAGGAAAATCATCATTGTTTGAGGCATTTCCTTCCACTTTCTATAATTGCTTCTGCTTCTGCTTTGGCTGCACTAGCTCACTGCAATCCTCGCGGAGTTGAAGATTTGAATAATCTTCTTAGATATTTCTTCCTTTTGTCTTACCATTTTTTATTTTATTTTTTTTGTCTTTTATATTACAGTAAGTATATGTTATTTTAAGGTCTTATCTGTTGGGCTTTTTCATGTTAAAATATCATGGTATAGCCAGTTTTCGCACTGGTCAATGAAAAATAGCCAGCGTTTATCAAGTCAATGAAAAATAGCCACTATTTTGCTGCAACAGGGACCGGTCCAGTATAATATACGGGAGTTCTGGTGCATTTGTGTACGAACTCCAGCATATTATGCTGGACCGGTATACTTTGCTAACTCCTGTAAAATTTGCGGGAGACTGGAGCACCAGTGCTCCAAACTCCAGTATATTATACTGGACAATTATACTTGCCGGAACTCCCGTAAAATTTGCGAGAGTTCCAGCATAATTATGCTTGAACTCCCGTAAAATTTGCGGGAGTTCCAGCATAGTTATCCTGGAACTCCCGTAAATTTACGGGAGTTCAAGCATACTTATGCTGGAACTCCCGTAAAATTTGCGGGCGTATTTTTCCAGATTTTGAACAGTGTTTTCGCTCAGATTTAAAGTGGCTAATTTTCGATGACTTTTGAAACTTGGCTATTTTTCAACGACTAGTGGTAAATCTGGCTATTTTTGAATTTCACCTCTCTTGTATATTCAGCCCGTTGAGGAGGTAAAAACAGCGCCAAAATTTCACGGTATAGCCAGTTTTCGGACTGGTCAATCAAAAATAGCCAGCGTTTACCAAGTCAATGAAAAATAGCCATCGTTTTGTTGTAATAAAGACCGGCCCAGCATAATATACTGGAGTTCGGTGCACTTGTGTATGAACTCCAGCATATTATGCTGGACCGGTATATTTTGCTGGCTCCACTATAATATACTGGAGACTGGAGCACTGGTGCTCCAAACTCCAGTATATTATACTGGACCATTATACTTGCTGGAACTCCAGTATATTATGCTGGAGTTCTAGTGTATTTATGCTGGAACTCCATCATATTATGGTGGAGTTCCAGCATACTATCCTGGAACTCCAGTATAATATGCTGGAGTTCAAGTATACTTATGCTGGAACTCCAGCATAATATACTGGAGTATTTTTCGGGTTTTGAACAGTATTTTTGCTCAGATTTATCTTTACATAAAGTGGCTAAATTTCGATTATTTTTTAAATCGGGCTATTTTTGAACGACCAGTTGTAAATCTGACTACTTTTAAAAATATCCCAAAAATAGCACTAGCTAGCCAGTTTTCGCAGTGGTCACTCAAAAATAGCCATCGTTTGCAAAGTCATTGAAAAATAGCCACTATTTTGCTGCAACAGGGACCGGTCCAACATAATATACTGGAGATCGGTGCACGTGTGTATGAACTTCCAGCATATAATGCTGGATTCCAACACGCGGAAAGTTCCAGCATTAATATACTGGAGATTGGAGCACCTGTGTACGAACTTCCAGCATATTATGCTGGACCGATATATTATACTGGAACTCTAGTATATTATGCTGGAGTTCCAGTATACTTATGCTGGAACTCCAGTATATTATGCTAGAGTATTTTTCGGCTTTTGAACAATGTTTTCGTTCAGATTTATTTTTATATGAAAAGTGGCTAAATTTCGATTACTTTTGAAACTGTGGCTATTTTTGAATGACCACTTGTAAATCTGGCTATTTTTTAATTTCTCCCGTTGAGGAGCCATTTTTGGCCCATTAATAGTAGCAGGGAAAATGACACTGTATAGCCACTCCCAAAATAATAGTCGAAAAATGTATATTTTTTGTATTATATATATATTTTGTATATTATATAAAAAAAATATAATCCTGTGTAAGAGGCTATTTAGGTTAAGTCTTCAAAGATTTTTCTTAAAAATACTTTTTTGACATCAAACATCAGAAAATAACTTTTTTTTAGAAAATATTTATCAAAAATATCATCCGGCATACAAAGACAAGATGTCTTAGCTCGTACTTTAGCTTGCGCGAAAAGTATTATCCATGAGTACTAAAATATATCAAAATTTTGAGAATTTCGTGTTGAGTTCTCTTTTATTTCCTAAAAGTTTAGATAACATTTTCAATCGTGAAATAACTTAGACTCTTGTGCAAGCATTACCGTAATCAGCTTAAGAACTCTAAACAAATTATTAATGAAGTCTGTTTGGTGGAATAAATAATGACGTATATTAAAAAAATAAAATCAAAAGGTCGTTATATTCAAAACTCCAATTGTGACATCCCTTCTTTCCGACTTCACATCACGGAATGCACCCTTCTTATATTGATAAACACAAAGCAGTAAGTAAGAAGCCCATTTGACATCTCTTCATCTGCCTAAAAAATGGATCATAAAAAAGAATAGGAAAAAGTCGACTATTGGAATCGAACCGATGACCACAATGCAATGGTCTAACCTTTGAGTGCCTAAGCTATCTAGAAATGGTAACCCTTATATTCAATTGAGTCTTTTTAAGTTTAAGTAGTTGAGATAATAACCTGAGAAGTACTAGTTCTCTTAGAGCCTGTTTGGAAAGTCACTTTGGAATTGGATTTGGGTGTAATTGGGTGTAATTACATAGTTTGGCATGTTTGTTTGGCCAAGTAATTACTTGGTCAGCATGGAATTGGGGGTAATTGGAGGGGTGTAATTACACTCTCCAATTCTCAAGGCGGAGGTGAGAATTGGTGGTAATTACACTGTGTAATTACAATGTTGCTTTTTAGTTTATTTCCTTTTGTTTTATTTTAATTTATTTTCTTTATAACTTTTTATTTCTATTATTTTAATTTTTAATTTATTTTTACTTTTTAATTTTTAATTTTTTAAAATATATTTTCTTTGTACATTATTTATCTTTTATTTCTCTATCTTTACTTTTTGTGATTCCATGTAATTTGCTTATATTTTATTTATTTTATTATTCAATTTTTGAAACTACACCTCCTAATATTAGAAATAATGAGTCATTAACAAACTTGGCGTATAATGAGTGATGCAATTAAAGTGGAATTTCGTTGTTGACTGTGGTTATAAACTTATCATGTTTCCTAATCTTAAGTTGCAGTGGGACTTACTATTATTATGTTGGAAGTTGACATATGTTAAACGGTTTTTTTTTAGTTGTTGAATTTTGTAAAATGTGTNAATGAATGATGCAATTAAAGTGGAACTTCGTTGTTAAATGTGGTTATAAACTTATCATGTTTCCTATCTTATGTTGCAGTGGGACTTACTATTATTATGTTGGAATTTGACATAAGTTAAACTATTTTAATTTTGTGAATTTTTGAAATTGTGTTATATTTATGGTTCCAATTTACTTGTTTAGTAGTATTGACTCGCATTGCATGTTGTTCATTTTTTTAGTTAGAAATGGTAGATTAGTTTTGTCAAACATTTGAATAATGTTATGACGCTATATTTATAAATATTAATTTATTTGATCAAACATGAATTCCATGATATTCTTACAAAACGTATACTTTATTTAGTTTTTGTAAGTATTTAAACTAAATATTATTAATTTAAAATATATATATAAATTATTTTAACAATATTAGTTATAAATATATGATTATTAATTAATGTATATTCACGAAAAATATACATCTTAAATACCAAATATATTATCATTTATACTTATAAAATCTTATAGGTATATATTTATTATATTAATTTTTAGTTTTGATAATTATTTAATTTAAAATTTAATCTAACTGTATAATTACACTTGTGCAACCAAACAGTAAACTTGTAATTACACTGTAATTACACTATGACAAACAAACAGGCTATCGTAATTATACGACTGTGTAATTACTACCTTAGTAATTACACCAATTCCAATTACAAGGTGGCTTTCCAAACACACTCTTAATTTCCATCCAGAACATATGCCCAGTGTGTTTATACAAATGACCTTTTTGGCACTAAATTCTAAAAGTTCCTTGAAATAAAACAGTGATAAACTGGTAGAGCAAATTAGCTAATACTAAAAGAGGCAATAGTAATTATGCATATGGCATTCGACCATTCGTGTATGAAATACTAAAAAACGATTTCTCGACTGCATTAATTTTATGATTCTTCATGAATATTCCTTGCACATCGATAGCCATTACGTTGGCAAAGGGTAGCTCGATGCACAAAATATCATGCGTTCACGCACGATCCGGGAAAAAGTCACACCCCAAGAAGTATAATGTAAGCAATCTATCCTGATGCATGCATCAGTAGCCGATTGCACGGCTTGAACCCATGACTTATAGATCACAGAGAGACAACATTGACCTGACTTATAGATCACAGAGAGACAACATTGACCGTTGCTTTCGATAGCCATTACATTATTTTTAGGATATAAATCACTCCAAACACAAATATGTCTAGGAGAAAGGAAAAGGATCTGCTTTGCAAATTTGTGATTCTGTAAAAGCGCAGTTGCTTCGTTTCTCACAACTGTAGCGTTAATTCAAAGATCATTACCATTTTTCTTATTCCCGTTCACTTTTTTTATGTCACGTAGATGCTTAAATTACTTCATTAATTAACTGAAATTCATACCCACAAAAGCTTAAATCTTAAATTATTTTTTCTCGTCTAAATCGTAAACTATTGACAATCCTGTTTTTCTGATCAATGGACATTATTGAAGTGCCTTTTGAAAATCAATCGATTGCTGGCTTTTCGTTACAAGCACCTTCTGTTGTTATCCAAAAGAAAAAAAAAAAGTGATTAAAGTATCAAAGCCAAAAGCAAAAACTTTGAGAGATTGTAATAAAGACATCCTCGAAAAATGTCAAGCATGATTAAATTTGAGGAATGTTGAGCAAAATTAACCATTTCGACATAAAGAAGCGCAGTGCTCAGATGCATGATGTAATTTCAATTTTCATATTATATGACCAATATAATGCATAACATTGACAAAAATAAAGTACTGATTGATGCCAAATGAGAACAAATTGTCTCAAGAAACACACATCTTATAGCATAGTTCTCGTTACACACAGTAGCTATTAAACTGAAAGGTGCT